AAGTATGTAAATGCAAAAATATAGGTTATAGGTTTTTAGTAGGTTTTGGTTTATTCATGTTGGTACACAGAGTTAATATATTAATTTGACTTTAAAGAATTATTTTTACTTTGACATGGCCTGGCTGACCTCATTGGTCTTTACAAGCCAGTGCTCTCAAAGTTGGAGAACATGCCGTTTGCCAAATCGAGAGTCAGACGTTCACACAAAACGTGTCTTACATTGCTCTGAGCCGACTGTGAAGACGACCTCCTTGAGAAATTTCCTGGCATTTTTCCTAAAACTGAGTTATCAGAAGCTGAACGTCCCAGAGCTAAGTGGTTATGTTTATGTCTGCCAATGGCTATTTTGTTTTTCATCTGACATCTGTTACATGTTCTGCTTTTATCTTATCCCCCCCTAACACTTTAACCCAAATTAAGTATTAAACTATGCTCTTTAGATGAAGGTACTGCATTGAGTGGAAGTAAGGCTAGTATTTTCTAATATTTGGTGACTAGTCAGTTGCAGTGCTTAAGATTTTCATTTTGTATACAATGATACTTCAAATCTCTTCATTGTGGGTTTTTATAGATAAGCCATGCACAGTTACACTATCCACTGAGCTATCCAGAAATTAAACCTCAGCTTGTTTGAGGGTGACAAACTGGCGACTGGTGACTACTTCACATTTGTACTCCATTACACTCAGCTGGCCTGGGAGTGATTGAGAACATAACTAAAAAAACAGAAACAATTTGGTTGTGTTACAGATAAAAACCACCTACATTACCGTAAAGGCAGTTTGTCATCCATCAAACAATAACTTTGTAATAGCTCTTAATTAATGTCAACCAGTATCACCACTGTCCTGCTCAAAATCCAGACCTCCATAAGTTCCCTGGTGCTGCTCTTCTTCTGGTTGTTGACAAGCATTTGTAGTCAGGTGAGACCTTTTTCTCCTCTCCTCCCTGTCTGTCCTACTCCTTTCCCTGGTTTTCCTTCTTCCTATCCTAGTCTTGGTCACAAAACTGTCTCCTACTCTGTCTTCTGGAAATAAGAAGAGTTGTGTACAATTTTCATCTGAAGGAAGAAAAACTCAACTAAAGCACAACTACAGTGGGAAAAACAAACGCTGCCTGCAGGGATCCATTAATATTTAGCAAAATGTATATATGACATAATTGCTTAAGAGTTGCATAAAAGAGACTGTCATCCATTCTCCCATCAATACCTGCCAAAGCCTTGCATGTCTCTGGAGTATTAGAAATGTCCAGCAGTGAACCAATAGACAACGAGTGCTCTGCTGACGGTCTTTTGCGCGGAGGGAAGGGAGAGATCTCTGTTTCCTTGGTGAGCTGAGCCAATGTGTCCTTCAGACGTCGACGCTTACGGTTACTGTTTGGGGTGGTGAGGGAAAGGAGGGACACTGCTTTCTTCATAGCTGGGCTGTCATTCTGAAGGAAAAAGAAAGCTCATGGTAAACACAAAGCAACCTATGTAAAAACTAAAGAATGAAAAGGTCATGAACATTTCTTGCAAATTATGAAATGAATTGAGAAGTACAAAAAGGCCAGTATGGATCATCTACACTTAATCTTATCCCTCATTTCTATGTTGCATGTGGAAAGGTACCCTGAGATTTTACAGTTCGTCATGGACACTTTCTGGAAGTTGTCACAGTTTTTTGACACAACAGTTGCTTCCTCAATATTGTGAGGAAGTCCAAGAGGAAGCACTGATTGTCATGTAGGGCAGCCATGGTTTTTAAATGTTCAAATAATTATTTATTTATTTATTTGTTTTACAGCTTTACAGCTTCAGCTAGTTTTGTGATAATACTGTGTAATCTGGATCCAGCATAAAGCTTGAGAGTGATAGGAAACTCCATAATGAAGTGAAAGGGGTAAGACTTAATATGGCAAGACTTAAAAGAACAGATGGCAGTTTACCACTGGTCAGGAATCTGCAAGCTAAAACCATCAAACTAACAAAAATTAAGTATTTAAACAGGAACAGGGACAATGTAAACAAATAAGAGCTTAGAATTAAAAAAAAACAAAAAAAAAAACAAATAGGAGAACTGTTTCTAAATACTGGCTGTATGCTGTACTTGCACATCTAGAAAAAAAAATCCTCCTTTTACCGTTTGTTGTCTTACATAAATATAGCATATCTATTTTTTGTGTACATAATTTTTGCTTTCATAGATACGCAAATAATAATTTAATAATCATGTACTCACCTTCTCATAGAGGTACATGGATTCTCCAGCTCGAGCATCCATCTGAATACTTCCCCAGAACCACTGCGAGAAGAAACAAGTTTTTATTGACCCGAGTTAGGACAAAGACAGAAAAAGATTAACAATGCTTAATATCGTACCCTTTCCTTTGAAAACCAATAAAACTGACAAAGTAAAGAAAATGATACCACTATATTGACTGTATAGTTAACAATACAGGCAAACCAAGTTATATAGGTGATTTAACCTTTTCATCCACTGGAAGAGGAACTATTTTTCACCCCCTCTCTGACAGCATCGGAAGGAAAAGGGGGGAAGCAGAGACAGTATTGACTGAGATTTAACCATAACAGAATCCTGATCAGATAATTACTCTGTTTCAGAGCATTCATTATTTTGCTCTGTGTCCCTGTCCTCCTGCAACATAACCTCAGTGGACACTAATTAAACAGCTATGTCTGGACAGTCTTAGCCACTACCAATCAAACTTGTTTTTGTCTTGAAGTTGCACAGAAACATTACTGTATGTATTAGATGCTGTTCTGAACTTTTAATGGCTTGTTGGGTGATGTTAAGCAGCTTTAGTAGTTGATCTCAAGAATAACAACAAAACATGGCAGCAAAGCAGAGAAAAAAAAAAACTTAAATGTGCAGTTTAGAGCAAACTGAAGGCAGAGTTTAATGACATATAGGGCCAACCAATGAGAAGTAGTAATAATAGAGTAATGACTACCTGTTACCTTGAGTAATAGCTTCTTCTGGGTCAGAACATCAGTACGTTAAAAAGCATCACAGCTAGTGTGATCCCATCAGTAGATAGTTTCTAGTCTATAATGTGTGTCATTCCATGATAATGTCAATAATTATCCACGGCTATTTTAAGTAAAAATCAATGCCAAAGACGAGAAAATAAACATATAAAGCCCTACCTCTTGTTTGACCACAAATAGGTTCTTGGAGGGAGAAAATGGTAGCTCCTTTACCAGGTTTTCCTCCACAACCATGTGCGTACACCTTTCATTTCCAACCTCAAGGTACGTGCCACCTTTCATAAAGGAAAACCAGGAGATTATATAAATAAAATGCATACATCACTAAATCCTTATCACAGATTCATTCTGTAACATGAGACAATAACCTCTAAATTACAGTCAGGGTCAGAAAGACTCAGTCATATGGAGCCAGTCTGGGATTACAGACAAGAAACTGTAGAAAAACTGCGAAAGTTCTCCACACGGCTTTAAACAAAAAACCTTCCTGTAGTAGAGGGTGCTCAAACTGATTTTATATGTCTCTAGTGTACTTTGTATGAAGCTTTCATAGACTGTGGCACTGACCGTGTTTAAGAGTCCTCTCTTCCATGTTGGCCTTCTCTTCCTCAGAAAACCCCAAAAAACTGAGAACGCAGTCCTGAAACGGGGGCACTTTGAACTCAGTTCGAAACTCCTCATCACCTGCATGGAAATTTCTTCACAAAAAATAAAATTAATAATGACTTTACTGTATTGAACAGTATGTGCAGTAAGTAACAGTAGTGTGCGATGCAATTAAACATAAAATAATTATCTGATGGCTGCTTAACTAACACTGATATGCAAAGTATATAATAGGTGACATGAATCATGCATAACAATAAGTAAACAAGACAGTTTTACAATTATCCCTTCTGGGCACATAGCAAAGTAATAAACATCAGCTTGATGCCCTGACATGGCTTATTATCAGCCAATCTGAACTCTTGTCAGCACTGCCATCATGAAGACAGTGGTGGAACATGCTTGGAACAATTCAGAAACAACAAAGCTTGTTAGCTTGCACTGGTTTTATACCATTTCAGGATGGGAAAATCACATTCAGATTTTGCTTTATGGTGGGGGAGGGATACATATACAGTGGTCCCTTGCTATAACGCGGTTCACCTTTCACGGCTTCGCTGATTTATATTTGTGCAATTATGCATGCTTTTTTTTTTTTTGTAACAGCGCATTGTGTTCTGCGTCCCGATTGGCTGTAGACCATTGTCAATCAATCTCCTCCATGCTGTGTCTCCTGTAAAGTACAGAATGCGTTCAGCTTGTCAAATTTACATAAAGATTCGATCACTAGCAGTGTGACTCTGAAGTGCTAGGCTGTATGTTTGCAAGTTTTCTAACCAACCAAGGAAGATGCTAACCATTGCACAAAAAGTTGGACTTCTGGACATCCTAAAGGAAGGTAGAAGTTACCATATTTTTCGGACTATAAGGCACACCGGATTATAAGGCGCATTAAGCGAAACAAAACAGTCAGATAAGTCAAACTTTACTCAACTCATTCTTCTTACTTCCTCTACTTCCATACCATTGATTCACAAAGTTTTTAACTTTGAGAGAGTTTAAACAAGAGAGAAAAGTGTGAAAATGTTCATGCCTGTCTGAGAAAAGTCTATAAAGTGTGTAGTCAGGGGTTTTACAGCCTTCAAACATCTATAATAATCGTAAAAAACAAAGCTGGCTACTTCGCGGATCTCACCTATCACGGGTCATTTTTAGAACGTAAGTCCCGCGATAAACGAGAGACCACTGTACATGTTTTTAGTTCACAGGCTTTTGTAGTTTAATTAAATACCATGTTACTTTCTTAAATTCCTCCTGTTTACTTGCTAAGCATTGCGAGCTGCCAATTAGAGGGAATCTTCAGAGCAGATGATGATTATTTTAGCCAGCTGCAGTCCAAAACAACAAAGTTTGAGTCCCAGCTGTAGGGCGAGATTCTCTTTGGGGAAGCAGCTACTAGAATTGGTGACGATCACCACAATAGCAACCTGGCTAGCAGGCCAGCTGATAGTTGAAAGCCCAGAGAGGATGGGCTGGCACTAGCTGGTTACCAAAGTACTGCATGTGTTGGAAGCACATGTCCTTTAAATGGTATTCAACATTCAACTTACACATAATCTCTTCTTTCCCAGGCCTTAAGAATCCATGATGGAGTGAGGATGGGTGTCCCCATGCACACTGCCAGCTAAGGACAAAACACAGCAGAGGAGAACACAAATGGGTAATTGGTGAATAAGAAATGAGGCAGAAATGACAGAAATAACAAAAAGAAGGACATGACATTCATCTAGGCACAATTTTGCAACTAAAAGACCGTCAAATAGTTCTGCTGTCACTGATAACAGCATAACTACCTCTCCCATCTGTTTTCATTACTCCTGATCGCCCTGTCACTCAGAACCACAATACAAAACGCGACAGGTACAAACATTTTCTACTTCAGGCACAATACAAAAAAAAAAGTGTCTGGGGTTGAAACAATTCAGTTTTTTTCTTTAAGTTAGCGTCACACTTTCAAATGGAAAACAGCCTTGACTGCCTCTCACAACAAGTTCACTGCATTTTGTCTTTTCTGCTAGAACAAAATGTACCCTTCACAACACTTTGAGAAAGAAAAGGGCAAAACAATGAAAAAATTAACTGAAAAGAGGACATAACAGTGAAGGAAGAGAAAAGGAAGAAATGGATTAATAAGAAAATAATTGGGAGGATGACTAAAAGCAGAACAGCATCAAGCATCTGTTCATCCGTGCGGAAAAACGACAAGAATGACAAGTGTCAACCTATTCATCCGCCCACCCATCGATCTCCATTTATCCCCACGGAGGGCACAAAACAGAGAAAACTGCTGTTTAACTGGAATTAAATTACAACTTTCTGACAGACCCAGACATTAGGATTCAAGCTAGGTTGCAGGGGGGCATCACATCAGTCCTGCTCATTCTATTTATTCAAGCAGAGAGCAGTGTCTCACACTCAAAAGAAGTGGTGTACAATGAAAAAGCCAGGAGGAAGAAATAAGTCACTCAAGTTTTCCAACTTTCAGAATATGAGTGTTGCCTCCTATTGTTTTGTGTAAAATACATATACATACACACATACATACATATACATACACACATACATATATACACATATACACACACACACACACACACACGTATTTGTTACCAAAGTACCAAATGTAATTGTAATCCTGACACTAAAACCACTTCAACCCCATGGGGACCTGGATTTTGGTCCCCACCAAGATAGTAAGAACCCGTACACATACACACATATATTTATATGTGTATATATATATATATGTGTATATATGTGTGTGTATATATATATGTGTATATATATATATGTGTATATAGGTTTGGTTAAATTATTTTGGTGTCTTGACTTCAGTTTCACATATAGCTCTGTTTTCAGTTGCAAAAAGGGGAGATTTTGTTCCCCATGGTTAGGGTAACATAATTATTCTATTTTTATTCCTTCTAGTTAATGCATCAAAACAATGACAATTTAGCAGAAAGTATAATAAGTTTGTTAGCTTTACAAAAGCTGTAAATAATGTTCCTGTCCTCTAAACATGTATTCTAATGGAGTCAAGAACATGTGCGTACGCTCCATCATTTCCATGCAAGCCTTGATGCGTTATTTTGAGCACCAGGGCAATGAGTCGCCAGCTCCCCAGTTTAAGGCTACTTAATGCAAATCAGGGGCATCCAGCAGAATGTGACGCCTCCAGTTACTCACAATAACCACTGAAGCTAGACACTGCAGAACTAAACTGAAGATCGATTCAGAAACTTCATGTCTTATTTCTGAGTTGTTGTTTTTTATTTTGTAAGCAAATGATTCACTGTGTTTTCTTTGGTTTCAGAGTAGGGAAAAATTTGCCAGTTATCTATCTTGATAGTATTTGGTGGTGGTTCACCTATCAAGTCTCCAAAAGCTAGAAAGTGAAGTGTCAAAAAAAAGGCCCCTTTGGAAGTGCTGCGTCTCTTAACAGGTTTAAAAAAAATGTAACAAAGAGTATATAATAGGTTAAGAAGTTTGTCAAATAATGCTCATCCCTTCAACACACTGCAATTAATATTGGATGCACAGAGAGTAAAAAGACAGGAGGGGAAAAGTATATACAAACCCTGTATTTCTCTCCATGAGTGGAGTATGCAACAAGATGAGTGACCTTTGTGCTAAAGTCTTTCCGTATGGTCCCACCCATGTGATGAACCAGATTCACCAAGTTTTTCTACAAAAACAAAGAAAAACCACAAGGTCAACACAAAAATTAATATCAAGGTGGGAAAGGCCAGAAGTTCTTTAATCTAATTTACACCGTATCAGATGATAGCAGAAACTACTTTGGCCTCACACACCACATGTAAAGTGTTGGATAGAAATTTAACTTTTATACTTAAAGAGGTTTTTTTTTTGTCTGTTTATTAGCAGAACTAAAAACAGATAGTGCCATGTATATGCTTCATGAACTCACCATTTCCTCTTTGTTCCTGAATCCAGTGAAGCACAGTGACAGGTTTAACATGGTGGTGGAGTAGAGAGGTCGACATGAAAACTGGAGAGGCTACGATAAAGAAACAGTAAAATTAAGAGTGGAATTAATAACAAATTCGAATTTTAAGTTTTCCTTAAAACTTAAATAATATTTAAACAATAAACAATAATTAATTAATAAATAATAAACAATATTTAAACATTAACTACAACACAAATTATGCCAGAGCATGCAGGATGCAATGGTTAAGTAAAAGTGACTACTAACTTCAGATAGCAGCCTGTTGTAACTGCACAATAGCTTAACACCATTTCCCTTGTCATGAGGTACACCTCGTTCATGCTCTGAATTGTAGTCATGCATGTGTGCGCTGTCTTCAACTGACAAATGCACTCCGTCTTGTTGATAGCAGCCACAGTCGGGGCATATCGTTCGACAACAGTATCCTGTGTGAAGTCTGTCAGACAGACGGCACAGCAGGGAGGAGCTGCTCCTGTTCATCATCCTGTTCTGAGTCACAATGCAATTTCTGCATCCTGCTTTTTTAAATCAAGTTTCATTTCAGGGCCATCTCCGTTGGATCCCCCCCACACAACAAACAGACAACATATTTCCCCAAGCGAGAATTTCAGAGTGAAGACGTAAATATCTGCTGAATTCCAGAAGCCATGTTTTAGAGGAAGCTGAGGAGATGCTGCGTTTGAGTTATAGAGAAAATGAAGTGAACTGTTTCTTGATTGCATAATATTGTCAGCAAATCTACACGGACACTTTTTATGCGCCACAACCTTTGCATAAAATCAATCTGTTGTCAATCAAAGACTCACTTCATCCTTCGCAGCACAGTGCAGCACAACAGGAGGCCCAACAATGCGGTGTTCATGTTTGTAGAGGTAGTTGTATTCAGGAGAATCAAAGTGTGTGAGAACAAACACCGTCTCAAACTCAGTGTTCTCTCCATCCCCAAACTCCTGGACGCTATCTGTCATTATGAATGGGGTGTTGATGTCCTGAATAGGAAGAACAACAAAATGGAGTTATAGATCAGTGTGTGGTAGACTGGTAACGTCTAATGTGTAAATCAGAAGCACAAAAACACTACATATAGGCTTGTTAGTTTTTAGGTCTGTTAGTGAGGTTTAATAATTTTAGTCCAAATTAGCTGATCCAATGAACAGAAAAAATAAGTATTTTTGTTTTTTGTTTCTTCAATAACTAAGAAATTTTGGTCTTTACAGCTAATCTTAGAAGAAATATTGGCACAACTGTAACACCAACCCTAGCCCTTACTGATATATGTTAACAGGTTGCTATGACGCTAAAATAATCAGCTGGTCAATAGAAACACTCAGAGAATACAAAGTGTTTCTGGGAAACCTTGGATCCTGCCATTTATTTAGCAGCAGTAAAAAAAATTGCTCTGCTTAAACTCAATAAACACAACAAGGCCTATTAACTCCCATTCAATGGCACATTTACATGATCTTGTAGAGGTGAGGCTCTATAAAACATATGAGACATAAATTTGATGGTATGGTTAACTGATGTAAGCCGAAAGGTACAAAAACTCCAAAAATGTGTGCATTTTTGTTTTTTGGGGTTTGTTTGCTTGTTTTTGCCCCATCGACATTGGAGGAGAGAGCAAATTGAAATTGCAAGTTAACAGTTTGGCTTACTCATAAAAAACAAAAAATCCAGTTGATGAAAAAAATACTGAAGTCATACTTTCTTTCAAATTTTACTTTGTGCAAAACTTCACTAAAATTTCCCAAAAAATAAAGTGTGTATATGTGTGTGTGTGTATATATATATATATATATATATATTGTGCAAGTTACACACTTTCAGAAAGTTGAGTAGTGTACTGTTGATGAGAAGAGCAAATGAGTTTCCCTGAGCTTTAAGACTTCCCAAGTTAATGTAACTGCAGCCTGTCCTGACTCAAGCTCTATAAAGACACAAGGCTGCAATCTATTCATTTCATTGAGAAAGAAAGCAAACTTGCATCTTTCTGACCTTTTCAAACCATGTCTTTAACAGAAGATGACACTCAAAACTCACAGCTTCTTGGGTACATTACTATTAATGTCCCTGCAGGGCATGGTCCACTTATTTTTCTGTGTGCAAACAGATTTTCATAGCACCATTTGCAACTCTAGCCTCTCCATTAACAGCAGGAAATTAACCATTTTCAAATGCCATTGAGGTAAATTGAAAGCATTTGAAATGACTTCATATTATCTCTCAGCCAAGAAGCCGGAATTGACATTTGAGCGCAAATCTCTTTTCCAGTTGCTGATCCAGATATCAACAATTACATCCCTTATTTTTAAATATTCACCCCACAAATCAATTCCACATCAGTGAGTTAGACATGCACCATGATTGAATGAGTACCCAGTGTGAATTAAGACTCATGCAGAACTAGCCCAAGTTCCCATCAAAGTGTCAGACAGTCACACAGATACGCAGACACTGTACTATACCATATTGACTATAGATTTTATCATCATTTTCTCCTCGGCACCCGCCTCGCCTTTTCTTATCTTTACCACAGGTACCTCCATTACTCTGATGGCCTGTAAAAATCAACCAGTAGGAAGTGGATGTCAAACACTGGCATTTAGATGAAGAGCATTTAAAAAAAAAAAAAAAAAAAAAAAAAAAAAAAACCATGAGAAGGACAGAAGGTTGAGACAGAAGACAAATGCATACAAATTAACCCCACATGAGGAAAAAAAAGAGAGCAGGGCTGGGTTTATGGAAGCAGCAAGGAGCAAGTGAGGAAAAGACAGGGCGGAGTCTGTGTCCTTGCAAAGACAGTGGCTTCAAACAAATATCAGGCTCCAGAGGGGTAGGCAGGGTGGAAGAAGAAACTTCAGTTAAAAATTAATATAAAGTTCAAAGCCCTATGGGAGGAGGAGAGAGGAGGAGGACAGAAACAGTAAAGACATTGTGGTGGTGGGGGCCTTGTTCTGTGGGATGACTGAGCAATGGTGGCGGGCGGTCAGGCAGGCAATCGGGAGTGCTCTGATGGAGCTGTTGGCAGATGTCTTTGGATGTGGCTGCGCTACAGGATTGGCAGGGAGAAATAGATGATTTAAGAAAGGAGCCTTCAAAAGTGACAGGGCTCAGGAGACCAGGGAAGGAAGTCATTCTAGCAGCACTTAGTCTACAGCCACGCCTCCAAATCACCTTCATATGGTGCTACTCAAAGACTCTGCTATTTCAACTATGCAGCTTACTGAAGCAGACACAAACATGCCCTAGACACATAAATATTCCTATCTTCACATTTTTACGGGGTACAGCGTTTTGTTTATTCAACATATTTTTGTTTTGTTAAAAGGAATTTGAATATGACTCCAGGCTTTGCTTGGTTCGGCACACATGAAAAAAATACAGAATATATAAATCCAACATGGACTAACTGTTCACAAATTATTTTATTTTTTTTAAAGTGAGTGCACACCCAGAGTTGTATATGAAAACGAATGTGTAAGCCAGGTATGTACTTGGAGCTTAAATAAACAGTACTGAGGGTCATGAAGGCAACTTTCTTTGTATCCAGCTAGATAACCATGGCAACTTGTGAAAACATAACCTTGTCTAACTGGATTATGTTCACAGCTACTGTTTGAAATCAACTTGCAGCAACACATTTTCAGTGATTTTTATTTTTTTTAAAGTGTGCTTTTTAAAGATTCTTTCCTGAGGAAACAGCTTACAATTTAAACAAAGATCAACAGATTTCCATGGCAGAAGCTTAATACATAACATGTAACTAACATTTTTTTAGTAGTAAAGTGAAACAGAGTGTTAAAAACAATGAAACCGTCCACTGCACCTACACTCCGTGTTTCTCGTGTTTTTGAGTTCACCAGCACCTGACGCCCCTCCAAACTTATATCCTTTGTAGAGAAATCCACTGTTGCCCCCTTTCCTGTAGTCAGACATTTTAACTAATTATTCTACAACTGCATAGTGTCATCAGGCAACACACTGCTGGTTTTATGGAGGACAGCACGCAAGCAACTCTGTATAGGTCACATACACAGAATCCACAAAGAAATGCCAACTATGATGAACTTGTATCAGAGTACACGCCTCTGGTAATGCGTTTAAAACCAATTAAAACCTATTCCCCAACTGCCTCTTTATCATTAATGATTCATTGCTTGCAAAAATGTCCTAAAATGAATCATGTTTTTTTTTTTTTTAAATAAATGCAACAGTCAGTTAATATGACATTTAGCAATTGGGCATTCTACTGATTATTCCATTGATTAATTAGATAAAAAATACCTTTGTCTAATTAGTGAACAATAATAAACATTCAAAAGAGAAAATACAGAGTTTTTTTGTTTTTGTTTTTTTAAATTAACTGGCTATTGGTTTCCATTTTAACACTTGCAAGGTTTTTAAGTTTACCTGTGTACAAAATCAGCTTTTTAGAGCTGAGGGGTAAAAACCTAAACCCTTTAATTACATTTATGAGCCACATTGAATTTTTTTTTGCAATGCAAAAATATATAACTTCTAAGACAGTCCAAGGTCAAAGTAAAATAAAATAAGACATACAAGCAACCTAAACTAAGGGTTAAAAATGAAAAATTTTAATTTTAAAATGAAAATTTTAATTACCTTTACTCTGTCTTCTTAATAGATTTGGCTAGTGTTGATGTGAATACATTTTTGTGCATGTGTTTGTGCATGTGTTTCTGCATGTCTAAATGTGCTAGTGAATGAATGAGTTAGTGTCTATAAGCCTTTAAAGGACAATGTGATGGTTGCAGTGACTGAAACTGAGCATATCATATTTTGACATTTGCCTTGTGCTTTGATGCAAACTTTTGTTCTGCTGGAAACAAGACATTAAACTGACGTAGATGTTAATAATTAATATTAATAATTCAGTATCACAGCACTAGGTCAGTGGTTCATTTTTATCGGCCTGTGAAAAGAGCTTTTACTTTTATATTATTTGAATAATAATAAAATTTACTTAATATTAGGGCTGCACGATTAATCGTTAGAAAATCGCGATCTCGATTCATACGTATGTGCGATCTCATTTCCAAATGACAACGATTAAAAAAAAAAAAAAAAAAAAAAAGACGACGACGATTGTACCGCATTTTGATCCGGGACGTAATCTGCATGAAAACGAGCGCTCACTCTTCCTGCTCAACAAATGACAAGAGCGGAGCCTTATACCACGTGATACAGAAGCTGTGCCGTGTGATGCTAAAATTGGCAGGGAAAAAACAACGGAAAACACGTCAGGGATGATGAGAAAGTGACAGGAGAAAATCCGTCCCAGTCAACCACCCAAACATCAATAACGGGAACCTTATACAGCGCTTCCCTATACACGTCGAACTACCGCAGGCACAAAGAAATTATGGAGGCTATTATTTATCACCTGACCAAAGATATGGCTCCCATCAACACTGTGCAAAACGAGGGATTTAGGAAAATGATCAACACCCTAGACAAACGCTACACAGTGCCGTCCCGCAACTATTTTTCTATTGTTGCACTACCTGCTCTATACACGCAGTGTCGAGCAACGGTGGAGACGGAAATTCAAGCAGTACAACATTTTGCGGCAACCACAAAACGTGAGACATTTGTTGTTTTTATGTTTATTCATTGTTTTTATGTTCAGTCTCAACTGTTACGAAGTTGATGTGCAGTTAATAAGTGCAATAAATATTTATACTGGAAAAGAAAATCGTGAGAGAATCGTGATCTCAATTCTAAGCCAAAAAATCGTGATTCTCATTTTATGCAAAATCGTGCAGCCCTACTTAATATAATATTTTATATTACTTCACTTTAAATCTGAAAAATGTTATGAGATGCTTGAAATAAATATGGTCTAGTTCACCCACCTTCAGACTCACCCCTTTTTGTTCTGCTTACAGGTATTTCTGCCATGTAAAATTGCATGGCTGCTGTCAGCCTTCAGCAAGCTGCCTAATTTAACTACACACGGCAATGGATTGGAGCATTTACAAAGTTCACGTTTCTTTATGTTAGAGTTTATTAAACAGTTGGTTTAATGAAGGACTCTGCCAGATTTTACAATAATTAATAGCGATGACAAAAACAAGCGCTATGTTTGGGCACTAGTAAAACTCCACCGGAGTTACCACCTTGTAACAGCTTTGCTTCTTTGCTCTTCGCTGTGTGTATACAGACCCTGGTTCCACATTAAATTATGACAACATTATGGAAAAGGCTGCTTGATAAATCGTTTCAGCCCGAATAACAATATTACACTAGTTTTAAAATAGAAGACAAAAGATAACAAGTCATTCATTAATAGATAAAAGTGGTCAGAACACCCTCAGCTACAGTTACACAGTACTGTAATGTATATTTACACAGCAAATATGCAGTATATGAACCAGTTAATGACATGCCATTTTCTTGATTTGTGCATAATTACATAGAATAAATCTAATTAAACATACGCGTACAGTCTGGTGCCACAATTATTTGCATTTTCGAGACATCTATAGGACCCATCCATCATGTTCCAATTTGTGCTGTATCAGAAGACTTTCTAATCTAAGAAATCTAATATTTGGATAAATTACAAGCCCATTCTGCCAAACATTTCAGCTAACACCACACATTGACAAAAGTCTAGAGGATTCAGTGTATTGGCCTGTGACCTACTTTTTTTGTTTGTTTTTTAAAAAACACAGAACAGTGATGTTGACCAGCTCAGATCATGGAGGTCTGCAACCTTAATAGATGCACAGTGGAAGTGTAAGGTTGACAGAGGAACGACGTACCTGCAGTGCTTTGGCCAGCTCTCTATTTCTGCCTGCTTCTCCCACCAGAACAACCCGTGTCTCCACTTTTGGCAGCATATCTGACAGCGATGAACAGAATAGAGCCAGAGTGAGCAACAGGAAAATAGAAAGGGGAACCAAAAACAACTGAGCACACACACACACACATACACACAAAGAAGAATGTGGAACCATGTGATAGCGACTGATCAAGGCAGCAGGTTGTCTCTGGGGAGAAAAAAAGTTGTTGTTTTTGTCTTCCGTTCTCATTTTGAGTGACAGTCAAACAAGTCTAAAATGAACTCAGTTGCAGCTTATTATCAGTGTCTGATCCAAACCCTGACAGTTACCTCTACCCAACCTCCAGCCATAAAAAAAAAAAAAATCAACCAGGGAATTATTAATTATTATTTGCAAAGTTTCATTATTGCAGCTTTTCAAAAAAGTTATATTTGACAGTCAAATAAATCCCTTTAGGAAAATTCAGGAGTCAGTAGGTAACTTTGGAGGAAGAACAACCAGTTCTATTAAAACCAGTACACTGGCTGGTGGATCGCTCACTGCAATCACCAGCATCAATATGGTGCCACAGCCATTTATACTTGTGACTGGGGTACTTAAGTCACTACAGTTTTCTCCTAAATTTCATGTGGTACTGGAAAGAAAAAAAAAAACAAAACAAAACATTGGAATAGAAATATTCTCCATTAGTGCCCAGATCTGCTTCTGTATCTAGAAATCTCTAGGCTCCCACACTGACATATCACAGTCACGCCTCAAGCTCGTCCTTAGTATGCATACTGTTTGTGCCACGTTACAGAAACTGGGTGATATGCCAAACACCAGAAGTAATGGAGCCACTTTCGGTGTTTGCTTTGATGTGAAAGGCTGACAGTGGTGAGTAAATTGTAATAAACGGAAAAATGTGAACAGATGAGCCACAAAAAATAAAATGAACTAAATAAATAAATAAAAAACATAAGCACTTGCTCTCCTGAGGTAATGTTGAGGTTCCCTGGCAAATGTACTGAGTGGGCCAGGCCAAGTTTCGCATAACCGTCGGGTGTGGTTTGGCACACAGATGCCTTATAAAGAAAATCAAAAACAGATGTTGCTTTAGTGAGTAGTTTAGAGGAAAGATTTTCTGATTTCTTGAAAACTGTCTTTCCTCAAATTTTCAAAAACAGAAACAAAGATGTGAGGATAGGAGGTTTAAGACTTAACAGAACTACCCTGTGTACACAGCAATAGTTGCACACAGTATCTGAGGCATAACACAACAGCTAAGGAGGTGTTCATTTAACATTAGTTATTTTAAACTGTGACTTGTGTAAATTAATTTTGAGTACTTAAAAGTAATTTTAATATTTTACCCATGCATTTGTCATCAAGTAGGCTAAACTAAAGAGCAAAAAAACCCAACCTTTGACAGGATCAAAGTGCGGGTAATGGGAAAATCTTACCTACTCCATGGGAACTAAACAGTACAAGTTTTTTTTCAGTGATGTTGTATTTAAATGGGTACACTAGCTGAAACTAAAGCGACAACTGAGTGAAGTGAATGCATCAATAAATCCAAGATTAAGTCTCTAGGACTAGTGACTTTTGCCTTTGTTTTTCTACAGCATAATGTTAATTATAAGATTTCTTTGTTGTAACCAAAGACTTGATTTGGAGAAATCCTGATTTCAGTGAAACAGAAGATCACTTAGCTGCATTTTGCATTTTCTGTTTTAGAAATTTAGGCAAGGAAGAAAAAAGAAAGTATGCACTGACCTTCCCCATCTTCACATCCCATGCCCAGAAATACATGATCCTTGGTGGTTTCAGCAATCCTGGAATCATAGACCGAAGAATCCACCAACAGACTCCGAGCTGTCCCTAAAGTCAATATGCTGCTGTCAGCCATGGCAGGAACCTAAGGAGGCACCAAACTTTCAGAAGTTACAGGGTAGAACAGAGGCACAGAGGGACAACACAACGAGGCAGAAAGGCTAGAGAAAAGAGGTATACCAACTAGGAAAGTAAGAAGAAAGATGTCAGCTGAAGAAAGTGGCACAACTTGTCACGATTTCACACACTAGAAGTGCTTGTTAAGTTCAACTCTAGGCAATGCAACATATTTGGACAAACCTGGCTTAAAAGCTGTTAACAGTGAAACTTCTTCTTCATAAAAGTTGTAAGCAATTAAGGAAATATTATTAAAAACGGAATCCAATAATATTAGTGTTTATTGCAAGAGGACAAAAAGCATCGTGACAACAAACCGTTAAACACATATTTTATAAAGAAGCTTCATTTTCTAGCTGTGCTTTTTTAAACCCATGAGCTAGAAAAATTGCATAGTTCAAATTACTGCAGAATAAGCCTAACAACTCAAAGGAAGATAGTATCCAAAAAAGGGCTAGCTCAATTAACGTTAGCTATTTACGCTACTAACGTTTAATATTTAACATGGCACCTCTCAAAAAGTACAGTAATAAAAAGACAGACTTACCGACTGTTTTGATGCCTTCTAAAAAAAATACTAGCTAATGAATCTCAACTGGCCGCTGAATCAGTAATATTTAACAAGCTTTCTAGCTGACCTAGCTAGCCACCAAGCTAGTAAGTCAACAACACAATTAAGAACTCGTCACAATTCCTCTTCGGTTCAAAACGCTCTTTAAAACAGCTGTAACATCGCTCCGTAAAATCACGGGTCTAGTATCAATGCATGTTGGTTTTTATAAATGACAATAGTCCAAAATGACTACTTCAGTTTGTTGACAGCTAACTACTCGACACTATTGCAGAGACGGTGTTAGTGTGCTGCTCCAGCTCAATTCAAAAAGCAAGGCAAACAACAGGACAGCGCGCTGATTGGGTAAGAGTGACAGGAAGCCGAACGCTTCCGTCCAGCGAGGCCCCTGATTGGTCCGCTCATTCAAATAACGATGCGCACAACAGCAGTATGCAGACAGTCTGCACTCTGCATACACCTAGTGATGTTACATTCAGGTTCCATGGGAAATTGAATCGCTTACAAAAAAAAGGGTTCAAAGTCTCTTTCTCTCTCGCTCTCTCTCCACATAGGTTGTGTTGGTTTTTAATTTAAGAAATAAACCTGAATCATTGCTTCCAAAAAACACTTTTTAATTCTTTGCAGATCCTGATTATTTATTCCAGCATTTTTTTAATATTCCAAAGCAGTACATGGGACATGTGATACTGCTGACCTACAAATATTAATTAAACAGTTTAAACATAACCCACTAATAATGACAACAACTTTTAATGTGAAATGCATTAATTTCATGTGTTCATGCATACCTACACAGCTGTTGGTTTCCTGTGCAGTCCTGAAAATGCTTTTGTTGTTGTTGCTGTTTTGTTTTGGGGGTTTTTGCTATGTTATTCTTAACATAGCAGAATGATCTAAAACAACATCCCCTGTTGCATTTATGCTGGTGACTATAACCCATGGGTGTATCCTATATCAAAATCCAGCTCTGTAATAAAATATGTGTGAAATCCTTTCACACTTTTGCTTGCTCTCCATTATGAGAGAGAGAAAAAGAAAAGCGATGCAAAAGTGTTCACACTGACAGTGAACTCTTCCCAGGCAAATACTAACCCCTATGCCTTAGCTCCTTAGGTTGGGCTCATACATATGCACACACAAACACACAAATCCATCCTCATAAGTGCACAGTCCAACATATTCATTTTATGCTTTATACATAAGTATCATATGCAGCATGTCACACTTTTTAAGCTATTATTATTTTAAGAGTTAACTTGTTTTCATAATTATTCCTAGGTAATCCAAAGAACTCTCCTCTGGGACTGGCTTGGATGTGGGTTTGTGGGGTTTATATAGCCATACTCAAAATGGTGTGGATATTTGGTTAATCTTTGTGGGTCTAGACAACAGTACACAGACCACCGACAACCTGAAGGAACTATCTGAGTAATCTGACACTACTTCCTCTGGTTATAAAAGATACAAAAGAGCCATTAGCTAAGCAGAAAAAAAGCAAAGCTCATAGCAGTAATGATTCAGGAAACTCTTATAGGACCATTAGACAGGAAAGTGGATCATTCCATTGATAGAAATGATGTGGTTGTTGTGTTAGCACTTTCAAGGGTTCCCAGTGGCCTTTTCATGGTAAAATATGATAATAATATAATATAATATTTTTAGGATAAAAAATAAAATAAAAATAATTAGTAAATCCTCAAGAAAGTAGGTGATACCTTTGTGTGCTACATGGTTCCAAATCTGCAACCCCATCCACTCTCATCTGATGACTCGGGACAACAGCAAATATTTTGGGGCTTAGGTACAGCCAGCGCATATCTTGACTAACGAGTATACAAGTATAATTCATTGTCCACAGTCTAATGTTGATGAAAGTAAAGTTGAAGAAAACTGATGAAAAGCTAAATCATTGTCATGATAAATGATGGTTTTGAAATTGCATATTGGCCGGTCTTCTTCCTTTGCTCTCCACACAGACTGTTTGCCTGCGGGCACTCAAAGCCTGAAAATGTAATTTGTCAGTTATACTCAGACAACAAACAGACCACAAATGGAAATGAAGAAAGGCTTTGGTTACAAAAATCGTGTCTCTTGTCTATGGATATAGTATCTGCATATGTATATGCAGACATACATGGTAGCTAAAGAACGTTATATATCCCTTTCATTTTTCATTGAAGGGGACAACGCTCATTTCTCAGCAGAAAAATAACCTATTTATCTTTTGCCTGTGGCCTTCTTTTAAAAAACCTCCAATGAAATTAAATTGTTAACCTTTACATCCACATTGTTTTAAGACATATTGGGAGCAAACTATGCATTAACTGTCATTTGTGAGGATTTCCACTTTGGAATGAAATTATGCCGACTGCACTCCCAAATATACAGATCCAGACAGTCAAGGTTTTATACATAATAAACTAGGGACAAGCCTGTAGAACCCTATAGAACTAATATCGAGCTAATATTATATCCACACATACTAAAGGGTGCAAAGATACAGAGTTACATCCAAATCCTTTAACATATGAAATGAACATTTTTATGAAAAACAAAATCTAATTGATGAGTTAAATTTTCAGGGATTTCATCAACGTGAGGAGAGGAACTCTAACCTGAACCACTACTGAGTCATTATTGATAAGAGCACACTCACTAACAGCAAAAGACTTTGCAAATTAGCTTTGCTTCGCTTGGGTTTCCAGCCACAATATACTACTTAGCTGTTTTAGCATAAGATTGGGTTTGTTCCAGTGACTTATAATCAAAATTCGATTTCTCTTAAAGTAGCAATAACTAACATGAATGAACTGTGTTTGAACTATGCACCACACCATTCTTTCCCTTGGAAAACAAATTTAAATACATTTATTTAATATTTTTCCCAATGAAATGTTCAGACTCTTTCTCTCTCTCTCTCTCTCTCTCTCTCTCTCTC